AGAGAACAGGCCCTTCAGGCAGGAGCTGGCCACATTCTCTTTCCAGCTCTGTCCCTCAGTACACATTTGCCTTCACCAACTATCTTACCTAACTACGTGTTGGCTTTTTTACCTTGAGTAAAACAGCAGCAGCAAGAAAAAAATATTTACTTCCTCTTCAATGAAAGGAAGAGTACAATGAGATAAACGTAATTGTTCATGTTCCTCAAAACTGAAGCATAAATTATACATATGGCTGGACAATTATAACCACCATCCCGGGACCATCCTTCTTTGGGGTTCAGACCCTTTTCAGTATTTACAACCCCTTTGCAATGGAAGGGCACAGTTTTAAGAGATTCACTGATTTGCCTGAAGTCAGAGTTTGACCTGTGTCTCATTTGTTTCTAAATCCTTGTGTAGTCTTCTTCGTGTCACATGCTGCTATTCCTAATCACTAGGGATACGTGGAAAAGAAAAGGCTTAATAACTAATGTCAAGTAGGCCAGGGTTTTCCTACATCAGCGCTACTGACATTTTGGATGCAATAATTCTTTGTTGTAGGGGGCTGTCCTGTAGGATATTTAGCAGCATCCTTGGATTCTGACCACTAGAGGCCAGTCGCATTCCCCTCTGCCAAGCTGTGACAACCAAAAATATCTCCAAATGCTCCCAGATGTCCCCTACTGAACAAAAGTGCCCCTGGTTGAAAACTACTGTGCTTTACATATAACATACAAATACATGGAAACAACCACCTAAGAAGAGAACTTTACAGAAGGCATAATTCTCTTCAAATATCTGAAAAATTTCCATATAGAAGCAGGAATGGATTTGGCATGCCAGGGAGCAGACCTATACCCAGTGGGTTCAAGTGGGTTCAAGTTAATAATAAAATCAGCTAACATTTATTCTTCCTATGTGCCAGGCACTGTTCAGTACACTTTGAAGTATTATTTCATTTAGTCCTCACAATAACCTTGTAAGGTTAGTAGTACTGGCCCCACTTTACAGGTGAAAAAGCTGAGGCTCAGAAGAGAATAGTTAAAAGAATTTGCCCAAGGACCAAGAGCTAACAGCAAAAGGCAGAACTCGTACTCAAACCAAGGTCCAATACTGAGCCCAAGCTCTTAATTGCCAAGTATTATGACCATGACAAATTAAGGATTTTACCTCAGTAAAATAAAGAAAATAAAGAACTTTTTGACTTAAAAACTGTTTCTTTCATATGGAGATTTCTTAAAGAACTAAAAATAGAACTACCATATGACCCAGCAATTCCACTACTGGGTATCTACCCAGAGGAAAAGACATCACTATACAAAGAAGACACCTGTACTTGTATGTTTATTGCAGCACTATTCACAATACCAAAGTGATGGAACTAACCTAAGTGTCCACCAATGGTTGACTGGATAAAGAAAATGTGGTATATATACACTACGAAATACTACACAGCCACAAAAAAGAATGAAATCAGGCTGCGCATGGTGATGCATGCCTGTAATCCCAGCACTTTGGGAGGCTGAGGCAGGTGGACTGCTTGAGTTCAGGAGTTCAAGACCAGCCTGGGCAACATAAACAAGACCCCATCTCTACGAAAAACATTTTAAAAATCAACCAGATGCTATGGTACACATCTGTAGTCCCAGCTACTCAGGAAGCTAAGGTGAGAGGATCACCTGAGCCCAAGAGTTGAGGCTACAGTGAGCCATGATGACACCACTGCACTCATGACAGAGTGAGACCTTGTCTCAAAAAAAAAAAAAAAAAAAAAAACAGAAAGAAAAAAAGAATGAAATAATGTCTTTTGCAGCAACACGGAGTTAGAGGCCATTATCCCAAGAGAACTAATTCAGAAACAGAAAATCAAATACTGCATGTTCTTACTTATAAATGGGAGCTGAACGATGGATACACACGGACATAAACATGGAAATAACAAATAGTGGGGACTCAAAAAGGAGGAAGATTGAGGGAGGTTGAAAAATTACCTATTGGGTACAATGTTCACTATTTGGATAATGGGTACACTAGAAGCCCAGTCCCCACCAGTTGGCAATATATCCATGTAACAAACATGCACATGTACCCCCGATTCTAAAATAAAATTTCTTTAAAAAAAAAAAAAAACTTTATTTTGCAAACAATTATTTCCGCAGCCACCATCTCAATCCTATCTGTCCAGATCAGATCCAGAAAACCTGCCTTCCTTTGTAACTTTCAGGGAAGTCTGCTCTGAACTCCACTGAGCCCCTGTACAATACTCAATCCTTCCTATTTCAAGTTACTCAAACTTAGTAACATCCTACTTAGATGACAAGCTCCATGAGAGCAGGGGCAAGCAGCTTCTCACACATATTACATGCTCCCATACAAAGCCTTGCACATACTGGGGCTCAATAAGCACTTTCTAAATAAATGTTCCTGAGGCTGAAAGCCTCCCATACCACCCCTACCCTCCAAAGCCCACACCATGAGGGATGCTTAAGCAAGCACCTTTAAGAGATGTGATTCTTGCATTAGAGTTGAAGATTTTATTGGATATACTCTGAGTTTTTTCCAACTCTGAGAATCTGAGCCAGGAAAAGGCAGAAAAGGACAGATGAGAGGCAACACAGCCTTCTGGCTACATCTTCAATCAAGCTACCAAGGACTCCCTTGACTATGACCACAAATCATGTGTCAGGGACTACATCTATTTATGTGTGTACGTATATGTATATACACTTACATGTACACATATACAAATACACATATACATGTATATCTGCAAATGCATATCTATCAGTTCCCTCTGTAAGAAATTAAGCAGACAGGCCAGGTGCAATGGCTCACACCTGTAATCCCAGCACTTTGGGAGGCCAAGGCAGGTGGATCACCTGAGGTCAGCAGTTTGATACCAGCCTGGCCAACATGGTGAAACCTCATCTCTACTAAAATTACTCTACTAAAAATTAGCTGGGCATGGTGGCAGGCACCTGCAATCCCAGCTACGCAAGAAGCTGAGACAGGAGAATTGCTTGAACCCGGGCGGCGGAGGTTCCAGTGAGCTGAGATCGCACCACTGCACTTCAGCCTAGGAGACAGAGTAAGACTCTATCTCAAAAAAAGAAAAGAAAAGAGAGAGAGAGAGAGAGAGAGAGAGAGAGAGAGACAAAGCAAGCAAGCAAGCAGACAAACATCTACAAGGTTGCTGAGGCCCTGAAGCCAGCACAAGGATGTACGAATAATCAGGAGTCTCTTTCTTCCCCTGGTATATGAACGAGGTAAGGCACATAATGTTCTAAAGTAACAGTCCCCATAAAACACCAGCACACCTGCCAACCAGTTCTACCTCCCTCAGGTATCAGCGTCTGACACCCTTTCAAGAAAGTACCAAGTGGCCAAGCCCTGTTCCTGGAAGAAATGGGAGCTCATATGTGTGAGATGCTTTGAAGAGATGCTCACATATAGTGGAGGAGGAGAAGGAGAAGCATACTTTGCAACATTAAATATTAAATTGGAGGCCACCTGTCAAGAGAAAAACTCTAAATAGAATTAGATTTATTTGAGAGCCCAGATTTCCAGGCTATACTTCCATTTCTCTTTAAAAAAAAAAAAAAAAAAGGTTATGCCTAGTATTTATACAAAGTAGAAGCCCATCTTCTTACCATATCCAGCTAGTGGCAAGTTCTCTGAGCTAACCTGAGGGTAAAGTGGATGGAGAGCTGGCTGAGAATGCCACAGAGCAATCAAGCAAACACTTTGCCCAAGGGTCAAACTAAATGGAACAGTTGTTGACGGAAAAGTCGTGCCATAAACCATTTGTGGTCTCTCCTTAACTTTCTCAGTGTTTTTGAGCAGTAGAGAGAGGACAGGAACCACCAACACAAGTTTTTCCTACCATCACTAGGTTTTTTACCACTGTACCTGGGATATTCTGGTTCTTTCCTTCCTAACTTCTATCTCCATCAATAGCATGGTATCTTCGCCCTTCATGTGCAACCAATCACCACCCAATAGAGGCAGAGATCTAACTATCCAAAAAATGCATTCAGACAGATAAAACAAGAGCCAGTGCAAAATGAAACACATCAGCACCACCCAGGAAGCTTCCAGGACCAACCACAAACACTCTCTTTCAATTTACAGACAGGTTTTTCCTTTTTCACCTGACTACTGACTCGCCCAACTTGGGATAACCACCAGTCAGAAGTTTTTAAATGCATGTATCTCATTCCAGGGGGCCAGGTGTAAACCAAGGCCAGTTGAAAACCGGCGCCATTTAATGAGATGTGGGTTTAAATGGGCCTATTTTTTTTTTAACCTACCATTGTAGAGCAAGAAGTGAGCTTGGAAGCCTGCAGTTTAGCGCTTGTCACCAACCTTTTTTCTAAAGTCAAGGCAATTAGGCCCATGACTGTTAAAAATCTACCTCAAAGCTCTTGTCCTGCGCACATCAATCACAGTCACGGATGAAAACAAACAGAATTTTAAAAATTTCTTTCTCCACACCCAAGGACAAGTATGAGGGCAGCCAAGAAATCATGGCGACAGGAACAGCCGGTGTCCAAGGGGGCAGCTGCTTCTGAGACCTGCTTTGAGACGGACAGAGAACCAACCCGAGGTACTTTTCTCTCCCAATGTCTCTCCCTCGGCTCATTCACCATATTTTGGTCCAACAAACTGTTTTTCTCCTTTGAGAGGTTTATGGCGAGGGCAAGAGGGACTGAAGGGAAGCGAGGGGGCGACGCCAGGGATTTGTTGCTACACGTAAAGCTGGAAAACGTGCAGCTGTTTACTACCAGCGCCCCGTAGACTCAGAGCGCAGCTTGCAGCTGAGCGCTCCCCTCGGGCGCCGACCCCGCCTCCCCCACCGTTCGTGCGCCTTCGGCTTTGGAGGCGACGCGCCACCTGCCCTCCCCGACGCGCTCGCAGGACGCCGAGCCCCCAACTAACGCCGCGCGGGCCCCCAGGGCATCAGCTCGGTCTCCCCTCAGCCCCCGCGCCCACGCCGCCCGCCGCTCACACCAAGTTACCTCGGAGGCCCGGGTTGTCGTCTCTGGCCCGAATCTTTCGGATTTTGACGGGGCGCCCGCTCAGGGTAGACAGGACCAGACGTTGGCGCAAGAAGTTGCACCCCGCGTAGCTGAGGGAGTTCGCCTGAGTCGCCATGTGCGCGCCCTCCGCAGAGACGTGAGCAGCCCGAGTGCGGCGACTTCGGACAGACGCGGGACCCGTGACCCCGGCGGTGGTGGTGGCTGCGACACCGACGGCGGCGGCTGGGGCTGCCTCCCGCAGCCCCGCGTCCACGTGGTTTGGAACAGGAAGACGGAGAGACTAGACACCGGGTCAGAGGGGAGCGGGGCGGAGCCAGTGGCCACCTCCCCGCCTCCCCGCCCGACCGGGGCGGCCACCGCGCCGGGCCACGCCGCTATTGGCCCGCGCCGGATCAGGGCGGTGCCCGCGCCGCGCCTCCATTGGCTCGCGCTGAAGCTGGGCGGTGCCCAAGCCGCGCTGCCATTGGTCCGTAGTGGAGCTGGGCGGTGCCCGGGCCTTGGCAACAGCGCGCGGCTGGAGGCAACGCGTGAGGGTGGCCCGGGAACCCCGGCGCGGGAGTTGCCAGTCAGGGCAGTCTCCTTTGGGTACCTCCTGGCGTGGTAGCAAGGGGAGATGGCGGACTGAGATTGATGCCTACGACGTGCCGGATTCTTAGCATCACTACTTATGGCAACTACTGGGGTGAAGATGCTATTATCTACCCCTCCTTTTTCTTTCTAAGAGAGAAAACAAGGGTTGGCACACTCACCCTATCGCAAGGATGCTGCTCAGCGCACTGCCGGCGCAGTCCCCCAGCTCCATGCTGTAACCTTGCAAGGTAGAGCCATCCTGTCTTACTCATGAAGAAAGGTTCGAGGAATATTGCAAAGCTGACAGTGGCAGCCTGTACTGAGACCCGAATCCTCCCACAGCAGGCCGTTGCTTATTTTATTAAGAGACACCTCTTTGCTCCTTTCTCACGGGTCCCTTCGTTTATCGTCACTGCGTTTCATGGCAATTCAGGCCCTCCTACCTCGCATGCCTCGAGATAGATAGTTGTAATAACTTCCCACGCACACACACGCAATGATTTTCCTTCCTGTCCTCCTCCAGTCCTGCACAAGAAAATCTTCCCAAACGTTGGATTATTTCACTTCTCTACTCAAAAACCTTCCAAAATTTACAGTTAACTAACAAATGACTATGAAAGTAGGAGTCCAATATCATAGTAATGTGGGTTTGTAGCCATTCTTGGACAACACTCACCAGAGCATGAGTTCCAGAATGCATGGGGGTGCTCAGGGTGGGAAGGGGGGCTGGGTATGATAGTGTCTGAAAGAGGTGGGAGCTTAAATAAGCTTAAGGATGTAGCTAGCCTTATGTAGAAAACAGTGTGTTATAAAGTGGAGTGTAATGGCATGCTCATGACTCACTGTAGCCTCAACTTCCTGAGTTCTAGCAATCCTCCAACCTCAGCCTCCCCATTAGCTGGAACTACAGGTATGCACCACCATGCTCAGCTAATTTTTGTATTTTTTATAGAGATGGGTTTTTGCCATGTTACTCAGGCTGGTCTCAAACTCCTGAGTTCAAGCAATTGGCCCACCTTAGCCTCACAGGCATGAGCCAGTACTCCCAGCCTTTAATCCATTTTTCATTGATTTTTGTAAATGGCAAGCAATAGAGATCTAGTTTCATTCTTTTGCATATGGGTATCCAATTTTCTCAGCACCATTTATGAAGAGACTGTCCTTTCCCCAATGTATGTTCTTGGCAACTTTGTCGAAAATGAGTTTACCGTAGATGTGTGGATTTATCTCTGGGTTCTCTGCTCCGTTCTACTGATCTATATGTCTGCTTTTATGCCAGTACCATGCCATTTTGTTTACTATAGCTCTGTAGTATAATTTGAAGTCAGGTAATGTGATTCCTCCAGTTTTGTTCTTTTTGCTCAGGTTTAGCTATTCTGGGTCTTTTGTGGTTCCATGTAATTTTTTTAATTTTTAATTTTTGTACCTAGAGAGTACATGTATATATGAGGTACACGAGAAGTTTTGATACAGGCATACAATGTGTAATAATCATATCATGAAGGATAGGGTACTCATCCCCTCATGCATTTTATTTTTTGTGTTATTATATAAACAAAACAGTTATACTGTTTTAGTTATTTTAAAATGTAAAATTATTATTGACTATAGTCACCTTGTTGTGCTATCAAATAGTAGATCTTACTCATTCTTTCTATTTTTTTGTACACATTTATTATCCCCACCTGCCCCCCATCATCCCCACCCCCTATATGTTTTCCAGTCTCTGGTAACCATCCTTCTACTCTCTACCTCATGAGTTAAATTGTTTTGATTATTAGATCCCACAAATAGGTGAGAACATGTGATGTTTGTCTTTCTGTGCCTAGCTTATTTCCCTTAACATAATGATCTCCAGTTTCATCCATGTTGTTGCAAATGACAGGATTTCATTCTTTTTTATGACTGAATAATACTATATTGTGTGTATGTATCACATTTTCTTTATCCATTGATCTGTTGATAGACACTTTTATTGTTTTCAAATTTTAGCTATTGTGAAGAGTGCTGCAACAAACATGGGAGTGTAGATATTTCTTTGATATGCTGATTTCCTTTCTTTTGGGTATACATGCAGCAGTGGGATTGCTGGATCATATGGTAGCTCTATTTTTAGTTTTTTGAGGCACCTCCAAACTGTTCTCCATAGTGGTTTCACTAATTTACATTCCTTCCAACAGTGTACAAGGGTTCCGTTTTCTCCACATCCTCACCAGCATTTGTTATTGCCTGTCTTTTGGAAATAAGCCATTTTAACTGGGATGAGATGATATCTCAAAATGGGTAGTTTGCAAATATTTTCTCTCACTCTTTGGGGTTGTCTCTTCACTTTGTTGATTGTTTCCTTTGCTGTGCAGAAGCTTTTTAACTTGATATGATCCTATTTTTGCTTTGGTTGCCTGTGCTTGTGGTTTATTAATCAAGAAAAATTTTGCCCAACCAACGTCCTGGAGATTTTCCCCAATATTTTCTGTAGCCATTTCATAGTTTGAAGTCTTAGATTTAAGTCTTTAATCCATTTTGATTTGGTTTTTGTATATGGCAAGAGAAAGTGGTCTAGTTTTATTCTTCTGCATATGGATATCCAGGTTTCCCAGCACCATTTATTGAAGAGATTGTCTTTTCCCCCATATATGTTCTTGGCACTTTTATTGAAAAGGAATTCACTGTAGGGTTATAGATTTTTTTCTGGGTTCTCTATTCTATTCCATTGGTCCATCTGTCTGTTTTTATGCGAATACCATGCCATTTTGATTACTATAGCTCTGTAGTATAATTTATTTTTATTTTTATTTCTTTTTTGTGGGGGACAGGGGGACATGATCTCAGCTCACTGCAACCTCCACCGCCTGGGTTCAAGTGATTCTCATGTTTCAGCCTTCTGAGTAGCTGAGATTACAGGCATGTACCAACACATCCAGCTTATTGTAGTATAATTTGAAATCAGCTAATGTGATTCCTCCAGTTTTGTTCTTTTTGCTTAGGACAGCTTTGGCTATTCTGGGTCTTTTGTGGTTTTATATAAATTTTAGAATTTTTTTCCTATATCTGTGAAGAATATTATTGGTATTTTAATACAGATTGCTTTGGGTAGTATGGATATTTTACTAATATTGATTCCTCCAACCCATAAACATAAAATATCTTACTATTTTTTGTGACCTCTTCAAAATCTTACATCAGTATTTTATAGTTATCATTGTAGAGATCTTTAGCTTCTTTAGTTAAGTTCATTTCTAGGTATTTTATTTTCTTTTTAGCTGTTGTAAATGGGAACACTTTCCTGATTTCTTTTTCAGATTATTCATTGTTGGCATAGAGAAATGCTACTGATTTTTGTAGGTTAATTTTGTATCCTGCAAATTTACTGAATTTATTAGTTCTAATATTTATTTGGTGGACTTTGGGTTTTTCCAAATATAAAATTGTATCATCTAAAAACAAGGACAATTTTTTCTTCTTTCTTTCTTTCCCTCTTTCTTTCTTTTTTCTTTCCCCTTGCCTTTTTTTTTTTTTTTTTTTTTTTTGAGACAGGATCTCACTCTGTCACCCAGGCTGGAGTGCAGTGGCATGATCATGGTTCACTGAAGCCTCAACTTCCCAGGCTCAAGTGATCCTCCCACTTCAGCCTCCCTAGTAGCTGGGACTACAGGCATGTCCAGGCATGCTCCACCACACCCAGCTAATTGTTTAATTTTTTGTAGAGTTGAGATTTCACTATGTTGCCCATGCTTGTCTCAAAGCAGTCTGCCTGCCTCAGCCTCCCAAAGTTCCAAGATTATAGGCATGAGCCACCCACACCCAAGGGTAATTTGATTTATTCATTTCCTATTTGAATCCCCTTTATTTCTTTTACTTGTCTGATTGCTCTCGCTACAAACTTCCAATACTGTGTTGAGTAAGAGTGGTGAAAGTGGGAATCCTTGTCATGTTCTAATCTAAGGGGAAAGGCGGCCGGTGTGGTGGCTAACACTTATAATCCTAACATTTGGGAGACCAAGGCGGGCAGATCACCTAAGGCTAGGAGTTTGAGACCAGCCTAGCCAACATAGTGGAACTTCACTTGGGTGTGGTAGCATGCACCTGTAATCCCAGCTACTGGTGAGGCTGAGACATGAGAATCATTTGAATCTGGGAGGCAGAGGTTGCAGCAAGCTGAGATCGCGCCACTGTACTCCAGCCTAGGTGACAGAGCAAGACTCCATCTCAAGAAAAAAAAAAAAGAGGAAAGGCTTTCAGTTTTTCCCCATTCAGTATATTAGCTGTGGGTATGTCATATATGACTTTTATTATATTGAGGGATGTCTTTCTATACTCAATTTTGTTAGGGCTTTTATGAGGAAGGGATATTGGATTTTATCAAATGCTTTTTCAGCATCAATTGAAATGATCATTTGATCATTTTTGTCCTTCATTCCCTTGATATGATGTATTACATTAATTAATTTGCATATGTTGAACCACCCTTGCATCCCTGGGATGAATCACACTTGGTCATGGTGAATGATCTTTTTAATGTGTTGTTTAATTCAGTTTCATTGAGAATTTTTGCATCGGTATTCATCAGAAACATTGGCCTGAAGTTTGCTTTATTTGATGTGTCTTTGTCTGGTTTTGGTATCAGGGGAATACTGACCTCATAGAATGAGTTTGGAAGTATTCCCTGCTTCTCTATTTTTTGGAATAGTGTGAGTAGAATCAGCATTAGTTCTTTAAATGTAGAAT